TGCCTTTCCAAGAATCCATTTTCTGTGGAAAAGCTTTACACATAGATATTCACTGAAACAATTCATTTGAAAATTCAAATTCGTTTAACAATAGTTAGCAACAACTGAAATCTTCTAAAATGGAGGCACACTGAGGTAAAAATCAGTGAATCCATATAATAAACTATTATGCAGCTATTTTTTGAGTAGGTAGGGAAATGAGAAACCTTCACGTATAACATTAAATGAAAAATGCAGGATACAAAATTATACATGCATTACGATCTTATCCAATTGAAAAATAGGGAGAGGTCTAGAAGGAAATACACTAAGTGGCAAGTACCTTGGAGCAATGAGATCAAAAGGTGATTCTTTTCCCTTCCCTCCAAACTTTAAATACTTGGGAGAATTTTCTAAAAGTACCAGGAGCACTGTATTATAGCTAAACAGAAACGGGAAAAGAAGGCCTGTCTACCTAAACTCCCAGTCAACAGCAGCAAATTCATGAATCTGAGGTGTTGTCGCTCTGGGCTTTCATAAATGTACAATGAACCTATCTTTGCAAAACCATCACTACTTCCAGAATGAAAACCTAACAGTACATGTGGTCTACACTTATTAGATAATTTGCTTGACATCATAAGATCAGCCTAATGGGCACTTTGGGGAAGAAACACAGAAAAAAAATTGTACATAGGACAAAAGAGATATGCCACTTTGTTGTTTGCAAAGACTTTTCAGAGACAACAGCTCATTTGATCCTCACCTGCAGCCAGTAAGGCAGACAAAGATAGGAGCTGACACATACCCATTTTACAGGTAAGAACATGGAGGCATAGGGGCGCCTGGGTGGCTTAGTCGGTTAAGCATCCGACTTTCGCTTAGGTCATGATCCCACAGTTCGTGGGTTCGAGCCCCGCGTCGGGCTCTGTGCTGACTGCCAGCTCAGAGCCTGGAGCCTGTTTCAGTCTGTGACTCCCTCTCTCTCTGACCCTCCCCTGCTCACGCTGTCTCTCTCTCTCTCCTAGAAATAAATAAAACATTAAAAAAAATTTAAAAAAAAAGAACATGGAGGCATAGACAGCCACACCCGCCAGAGTGCCAGAGGCCATTCCTGACTTCATTTCCAGGGCTGTCTTAGAGACTGGGGCTCTTTCTATGGTATCTTGCCATTACCCTATTACTTAGTGACTCTTTATAAATATCTTAGAATAAGAAAGAAATTTCTCACTTGAAAGAAAGAAAAGAAAGAAATGATTTACTAATAATAAGAAGAGGCTTCAGGGGTGCCTGCATGGGTCAGTCGGTTAGGTATCCAACTTCAGCTCAGGTCGTGACCTCACAGTTCGTGGGTTTGAGCCCCACGTCAGGCTCTGTGCTGACAGCTCAGAGCCTGGTGCCTGCTTCGGATTCTGTGTCTCCCTCTCTCTGACCCTCCCCTGCTCACGTGGTCTCTCTCTCTCTCTCTCTCTCTCTCAGAAATAAATAAAACATTAAAAAAAATTTTTTTAAAGAGAGAAGCTTCAGAATTAAATAGATCGGACTCAAGGTCAAAATCTAGCTCATATACTTCAGTGACTTTTTCAGGTTAACTACTCAGATACTCAATTTTCTCATCTATAAATACAGGAATAAAATTACACAGCTGACAATGGGTTGTAAAAATTAAATGATCTTAGTACTTAGACCAGAGCCTGACACAATACAGGTATAACAAACACCACATTCCTTCCTCCAAAGAAGAGGGAAGCCTCTCCAATGAACCAACTCCAAATTCCAATTTTAGTCCTTATTGGCACACCAGACTCATTATCTGCCAGCTCTCAGGAGCCCACCAAATCTTTACCAAGTACTGAAGTGCTCCCTAATATAATTAGAAACCACTCAACATAATACTTTTAACCAGTGACAGTTTAAATCATTTTTATCAGTTTTAAATAGTTTCTCTTTTGTCCTAATATGTAAGTAAACTTCAACATCAGAGCCGAATTCTTGAAAAAGTAACAATGAAATTTTTGTTTCTATTGCCTGGGGCTTTGGCCTGTCTCATTTGAATTCAACGACTAAAACTCCCAAATCATCTGTTTGATTAATTTCTTCTAGCAGGGTAAAGGCAGGCACTTCTCAAATTTTTCATTTCCTCTCTAAATTAGATTTGGGCATGGAAACCCACACTCCAAGAATGCTTTCTCAAAACAGTCTGTCCGCTAATTACTTATTATGTGGATATACAGCTCAGTAGCTACCTGGCCAAAGAAGAACACAGAATTTAATAAAGCTTATCTTTAGCATCAAATGAAGAGTCAGGAGGCTGGATGGAAGCCCACAAAACCCAAGGAGAATGCCCTTCTCATTTCACCAGCCCCTGAACCTTTTCCACCCACTCCTTACTAGAAGGCCATGCCCATTATCTGGTAGAGAAACTAATATGCCAAAAGGGTGGGTAACCAGAGACCTTAAGGACATAAATAAGCCAAGATGTGGAAAATCATCCCTTCTGGTGTTTGTGGTATATAGTTTCAAATGCTGCTTCTAAGAGACAGAAGTTTAATGAGATTCTTCTACAAGACAAGAGAGAAAGAGACATTGTCACTACCCACTGTGAAGTTATCCATCCTTCTTTTCTCTGCTTCCCAATTTCTCCTAACCACATGCTTACAATTTTAGGATGTCCTACACTCCCTATCTTATAATCTCAACAACACTGCTGAGGTTGATTTCTGTTCTATTTTCTCTCTGGGACAAGTGGGGGAGAGTAGACAGAATCAACTTTGGAACCAAGCAGGCTAGAATCTTTATATCAAATATTCATATAAGGATATATACACAAACACCTCCTAGTGGTTCCGCTTCTCTAACTGAATGCTGATATAACAATTATGTGACTGAACCAATTATTTAAATGCTCTGGGCCTCAGTGACCTCACCATAAATAAGAATTTCACAGGGCTAAGAGAAATAAGTATGCAAAATGCATATGAAGTGCCTGACTCAAAGCTTGCCATATAGCAAGCACTCAACATTACTTCCTATCTCTTTCTCCCTACCTTGCTAAAACATTCCCTACAAACATGAATACTGCCTTAGATCCCAAGAGGACCAGATGTTACCTGGTCAGGGCATCTTTCCTTCATACAGGCCTCAAGTCACACTGGCACTTTGGTACTCTGTACTCTTTCCTTTTTAGATATTTCATTCTTCTTTTTTTTTTTAATTTTTTAAATGTTTATTTATTTTAAGAGAGAAAGAGAGAGAGAGTACAAGCAGAGGAAGGGCAGAGAGAGAGAGAGAGAGAGGGAGACACAGAATCCGAAGCAGGCTCCAGGCTCTGAGCTGTCAGCACAGAGCCTGACATGGGGCTCAAACTCACGGACCAGGAGATCATGACCTGAGCCAAAGACAGAAATGCTTAAATAACTGAGCCACCCAGGCTCCCTTAGATATTTCATTCTTCTTAAATATTAAACTTCCATCAAAAAGGTTGCTACACAATTAGATGAGACTTTTTTTTTTCATCACATTCCATACCTGAGAGCTGAGTGTTGCTCAGACATCCACTGAAACACAAACTTACTCCAGGAGTAGACTTCCCCTGCTGATGCCTAATTATGTGCATCCATGCTGAATTTTTAACAATTTTAGTCCCAGTTTAAGCTATTCAAATTCTAGGCCAACTGACTCTACCTCTTTAAGTTCTGTCCACAACCCCAAGTCCAATTTGAACCTGATTATGCACCTATTTGTCTCAGCAATGAAATGCAGGGTGAAAACCAAAATCTCCCATCCAATAATACATGTCACTAGCTGTCATTTCCCGGGGGAGAGGGGGTGGGGGGGAATGACTGAAGGAAATATAAGTCTGCTAATAAAGGCTCAGGAGACATCTTCTCCGGCCCGTTCCCTTCTGAACATGTTCTGTGTTCTACAAAAAAGTGAAGACCAAAGTGATAACCCAGTTTAGAAGCTGGAATTGATTGAATCTTCTTGGGAGTAAATAGCAGTGTACGTGTTTTTGTGGAGGAGAGATAGTCACAGTTGGAAGGCTTCCAGATGCTTATTATTTGGACGTGAAGAGGAGCTGCTCAAGCTTGGAAGAGCTTGCTGACGTAAGATTCCAGGCTGCGGTAACCCCAAACGGCCACGGAGGTATATATTTATTAGTATTTTTTTAACTGCTGCTGTAAAGTGACAATTAAGAGGGAAAACGGTGGCAAGGGATCCCTGGGGTCTATAGCCATAAAAACAAGAGTGGGAGACCTGACTTCCCTAAAAGTTACACCTCCTCATAGATTTCCATTAAACCCCCCCTGGTCCAAATTCATCACTGAGGACACACCTTACGGTCTCTGCTGGTGGCTTCCTGCTCTGACCACAGAAGGTTCCTTTTGTGGTGACAGGAATTGACTCAAAGAAGAAAAGAAAAAAAAAAGTAAGTTTACAAACGAGCCTTCCGTTTTTCCAAGACTGATTTGTCCAGGATGTGTGGGGAAGACATCTGAAATCCCCAACCTGTTACAAGAATCCATCAACCACTAAAATCCAGGAACTTGGAAAGGAAAGAAATGGAACTCCCCAAGGTCTTAAAATATAAAACAAAGGGGGGGGGGGCGGGAGGCGACGACAGCGCACCCGGCACCCTGTGTCACGATCTTCCGCTCACGGGGCCTTTGAGGACAAGCGCGCAAGGAAAGGGGTCCGCGGGTCTCCAAAGTGCTCAGCCCGGCCGGAAGCGAAGCGTACCCGAAGAAGCCAGCTCCCTCCACCCGGGACAGCTCAGAGGGGCGCCCCAGGGGTAACAGGTCCTCAGAGGAGCCCGCGAGAGGAGAGAAGGCGGGAAGGGAGGGACGGGAGTCCTCGCCTCGCGCCGCACCCGGCCCGGGCCACCCTCCAACAGCCAGATGTTCTGTGTCGGGATCCCGGGGCTGCGCCAGGGCGACGGCAGCTCCGGGCGCTGCCGGGCTGCCGTCCGGACCACTCGCCTCCTCCTCCCGAGCGCCCCCAGGCCCCAAAGGGGCACTCACCCGGGGCTATTAGCGGCGAACTCACGGCGCCTCCCACGAAGACAGCGGCGGCCAGGACCGCGGACCCCAGGAGTCCCCGTGGGGCCATCACCGCGTTCCTTCGCCCTTCTTCCCCGGAGCGCCGCGTCCGGGGCTCCTGCAGGCAGTGCAGCCTGAGAGCCGGCGGCTGACAGGATAGCAGGACTCTGCCCCCGCGCGCTGTAAGCCCCGCCCCGTCAAGGGCCCTCCTCTCCGGCCCCGCCCACCCGGCTCGGCCGGGCCTCACCCAGCCAAACCCGGGGCTCCGCCCTGGTCCCCGCCCACTGCAGCCTGGCCCCGCCTCTACCCGCGGTGCCTGCTTCCTCTCTACGTTCGACCGCGGCCTGGGCCGCCGGGATTTAGGCTGTGACCCCGCCCCTCCTTCCCCGCCCACCAGTGCTCGACCACGCCTCCCTCCGGCGGCCCCGGTCACGCCTACCTCTTCCTGGTTCCAGCCTCTTCTCGCCGCGCCCGCCCGCTGCGTTTCCGAGCCTGGCTTCAGCGCAGATGCAGGGATTGAGCGGGAGCCGGGGGAGGGGGCACGGTCTCCGCGGCTCAACCTCCCCGACACAATCAGCAGGAGGGCACGGGAAGAGGAAGGAGAGCTGGACGGGAAGCTCTAGACGGACTGACTTGGCCATCTTCGAAATGGGCGCGATCTTAATTCTTTGTTGGCATTTCTGTCCAACTGGCATTCACCTCCGTGACTGGTCCGGAGAGGGGCGCTGCGCTGTACGTGAAGTTCCACTGTTTGAAAATTGAGAAAAGGCCAATCATTTAAATTGCCTCCTGTCTCTGCTTCCATTTAAGCAGCTTCTACATACCTCTACATGCCTGCAGGAACAAATTGCTTTTTTTTTTTTAACCGTGTGCCCACATTGCACTTTTTGCAAATACTTCTCACAAAACAGCTCTTTAAGTGCCTGGTCACTTATGATCTTATATGCTCACTTCAGCTCTGTGAGGCGAGTAGTATCCTCATGTCACAGGCCGTTGAGCAAACCCACAGGCCACTGTGATAAACTGGAATTAACTTGTCTTCATTGTGTTTGCTCGCTGCTGTGCCCTCAGTGCCCAGCTCAACGGCAGCACGTGCTAAGAGATCAGAAGTGGTTTTGAAATTGAATCATCACATCGCATAGTGAAGAGTAGTTCCCTCTTCACTGCACTTTAGAGACTCCTGAAGCGAGGTGGTCAGCCCTTCAGCATTGCCCAAGATCACAGACATCACGAGACAGGGGAGGGCTGGGGCTTTTCACAGAATGAGCCTCTTCCTTGCCTTGACTATCATCCTCCAATTTTCAGAAAAGGACTTTTTATCTTCTTGAGTCCTCGAAACAGTCTGCTATCGACTCTTACAAATATTGGCACTGGTGCTGGGAATCCCCAGCAACAGAAGCTCGGGCCACACTACAGATAGCTGGAGCCGACGGATGGGAGCCAAGGGCAGGCTCTGTGTGTCCTGCACACAGTTGGCAACATATCCTGCAGTCTGGCAGGTGAAGCACCTTTATACTACCATAAAAGCTGAGAATGACTACAGATGAAGAAGTTCCAGGTAGGTTTCTAACTAAAAAGAAGAGAGTCCTAAAGCCTGGAAATTAAACTGTAAACTATCAGTTGTAGCCAGAAACAGCTGTATACTATGCATAGCCTAGTGCAAAATGAAAATTCAGGGCCCTTTGTTCAAAAATTAAGAATTTCAAGATTGCAGGGCACCTGAGTGGCTCAGTAGGTTAAGCCTCCAACTCTTGATTTCAGTTCAGGTCATGATCTCATGGTTTGTGAGATCCAGCCCCACCCTGGGCTCTGCATGGACATTAAGAAGCCTGCCTGGGATTCTCTATCTCCCTCTCTCACTGCCTCCTTTCGCCTCATGCTCTCTCTCAAAATAAATAAATAAGCATTAAAAAAAACAATTTTACAAATAACAGAGCATTAAATCAATTATGAAGCCCTTCTAAGCATGCAGACCTGTGTAAAGGCCATACATCCATAAAGCCAGCTCTGGTTTTGGCACTTAGAATGCAGCAAAATGCTTGAACCAAGATATCTATGCAAAATGCAAAACATCATTTGAAGGGCACCTGGGTGTCTCAGTTGGTTAAATGTATGACTTCGGCTCAGGTCATGATCTTGCAGTTTGTGAGTTCAAGCCCCGCGTTGAGCTCTGTGTTGACAGTTCGAGCCTGGAGTCTGCTTCAAATTCTGTGTCTCCCTCTCTCTCTGCTCCTCCTCTACTTATGTTTTGTCTATGTCTCTCTCTCTCTCTCTCTCAAAAATGAATAAACGTTTAAAAATGTTTAAATAAAAAGACAGGACCATTTTTAAAGTAAACTCTATACCCTGCTTGAGGCTTGAACCCACAACCCCAAGATCAAGAGTTGCATGCTCCACCAACTGAGCCACCCAGGCGCCCCAAGATGAAACCATTTTAAGCAACATATTTGAATTGGATATCTGCTCATGGCTCTCCAGAAATAAAAATACACCACTGAAATTAAAGCTAGATAAAACCTTAGTAACCATCTACTAAGCCCCTTACTTTAGAGATGAGAGGTAGTTAAGTGACTTGCAATACCTCATACCTCGTATGAGCCAGGGTTGGGAACTAAGGCTCTCAAATTTCCCTTCTTAGACTTCTTTGTAACACTTAGCTGCTTGACAGTCTCAAAAGATACCTTACTGTCACATAATTGAATATATGTGCATTTGCACATCTCATTAAAGGTAGGAAGGGAAGGAGAAAGGGATGAAGGGGGGAGGGAGAAAGGAAGCTTAAATTATTCTCTAGGTACACTACAGATTTGCTTGCACAATTTAAAAAGCCCTACAATCACACATCTAAAAGCCATCGCTTGTTTTATTTTAGACGTGAAGACTCCAATATGATGGAAGTTCCCTTTCATATTAGGAAGGGGATGTCACATTTCTTCTGAGGAACTAAAAATTGGCACCATGAAACTAAGTGATCTTCCCATTTTTTTTTTTCAGAAATAAATTAAAAGATAGGTAGAAATAGTTATAGCAATAGCATTCATTAATTCATCCCTTAGATTTAGCCCTATCCCATGCAGAGCACATTTCCTGTGTTCCTTCACCAAATCCTCACAACTTTCTATTTGGGGGAGTGTTGTTACTGACCTTCCCTTCAAAGCTGAGAAGACTAGAATTTGAGGATTAAGGAATTTAGCCAAGTCACACAGCCGCTCCATGATATTGCTGGGATTCAAATCAGGGTCAGCTCATGCAGGCCTGCACTTGAACTTCTGCCTATACTACTCTGCCTCTGAAATGCAGATTAGTAGCCAAGCCGCTCTCCTTTTCCAATATGAAGTCTTATTCTGTCCTTGCATGCATACTGTAGCCTTCTTGAACTCTGTGTCAACAATTACATGCTTTTTTCTTCAAGGAGGATATTTGTTTACGGGGATAGGTTATAAACAAGAGTTTGGAGGAATCAAATTTACAACCTTATGCAATGCACTGTCCTGTTTTTTGTTGGTTTTTGTGTTGTTTTGTTCCCAGTGTCTCTGCAAGAATTCAGTTAATCATTCCCCTTAGTATAAACCTTTCCTGTTTTCCTAAGGAGGTAATTTTCATCACCATCATTTAAATGCGTAAGACTCAGTTGACTGGTATTTACTTTAATTAATGTTGAAAACACTTCCGCAGAAGGTCTCTGTAGAATTTCTTCTCTCTGTGATTTAGATGTAGTCATCTTTCCTTTTGAGTCATTATATCTAGGAGAAAAGCTTACAATTAAATATATATATATATTTTCAGGGGAATAAAATGATATTTTGGTCTGATAGCAAGTATATACCGTGTTCCTAGTACTAGGCTGAGGGTAGGAAGTTGGAGGGGAGAGTCACTGCACATTTAGTAAAACATCCTAACCCTAAAGAAATTCTTCTCCCAACCTGGAAAAAAGGAAACAACAGCATGGTGAAATGGAAATGGTCAAAGAAATGGTCAAAGGTTTGGGGGAGGGTGCGGAGTCCTACCAGTAACTCACTCTGTGACTTTCAGCAGCTTCTCTTTGGTTAGTCTTCTTACCCATAAAATTCAGGGGAGGGGTGATTGGATGATTTCTGAAGGTTGCCATTCAGCCCTGACACTGTATGCCATAATAAGTAATCAGCTGATAGGTTGCAGGGTGCCAAAGTCAGGCTAGACTGAAGCGTTTCTCAAAATTATCAAAACATTATGGGCAAGATAATTCTTCGTTTGGGTGGCTGTTTTGAGTATCGTAGGATATTTAGGGACATCCTCTGCCTCTACAAACTAAATGCCAGTAGAACTCGTCCCTCCAAACCCCCGAGTTGTGACAACCAAAAATATCTCCAGATATTACCAGAAGTTCTCTGGGGGACAGAATCACCCCTGGTTGAGAGCCACTAGGCTGGAAGAATTCCAAGAAGACCAAAAGGATTGCAACCGGGAACTCTGGGGCTCTGGACCTTCATGGAGAAGGTACAACTCGGGCTGAGCCCTGGGGATTAACAGAGAGGTGAGGGAAGTGTATGAGCACATGTTCAGTGAGAGAATTTGCATGGCGTTGGCTGGCGTTGGTGAGGGAAAGAAGGCGAAAATGTGTTGGCAATAACTGTGGGTCATAGCTGAGCATAATAGTCAATAAAAGGAGAATCAAGAACTTCAAATGCCCCAAAATTGTCATAAATTATAATAAATTATTCTATCACTAAAATAGAATTTTTTAATTTTTAAAATTTTTTTTCTTTAGGGATGGTGAGAAGAATTTCCATTGTTCAGTTAGATCTTTTTGATCCTAAATCAGGAGTTGCAAATACAAAAGTCCTAATTTTGCCAAAGTGCTCAGTAGATGTCAGTGAAATCTGATTGACAGGTTAGCAATGGTGTCCATAATCTCTGCCTCTTTTCCTGGAATATGACGTTGTGTTTTGTTTAATAGGCACACATTCTTCTGAAAATTGTGTATAAGTGACTCAGGCCATTTGCTGGTTGAGCCTCAAAGCCAGGTGGATATACATTGACATGGTCATTCTCAGTAAAGAGCAAGAGAAAATTATAGTGAGGAACTGCATGATTTTGGGCCCAGTAAAACCCACAATGTACATTTCAGAGGACATGCTTTATAGGGACAGGCTTTATAGGGTACAGAAAGATAGGGATATCCTTTTGATT